ATACCAACGACACTACAAAATTCGGTGCCATATACATGTATATACATTATAAACCTTCCCTAACAATCACTCTATCTTTTAAAAAAAAACCGCATCAAAATACGTTGCGTAGTTTTAAAGATCTAAGCATATATACAGACAGACGGTGGATAGCGACTTTGTTTTATACTATGTAGTGATATATATATATATATTATTTATTTTTTTTTAAGGGGGGAAAATCATCGAATGACTGCTCCCGCCTGGGTGAGGCGGAAGGGAGTGTCAGACTCTTACTGACTAAAAACCACCCCGTTCCTTCTCCTGCACGTCGAGCCGGAGCCCCGGTTACCCGTTAGGTTCTCCGCGACTCCGGATCGGCATCGGCCCTATTGGGCCCCATCTGTGGTGGTCTGATGGCTCTTTGAGGCGCGCGCGGAACGCGACGCGCCGTACGCTCGGGTCTGTTTCTGGTCGGACGGGGAGCCACCCATGCTCGCCGTCCGCAGGCCCGCGCTTACGGTGGCCGGAGATCGTCCCGCGATCCCCGACGCCCGGTGTGTCCTTCGCGATGGCTGGGTTGCGAGGAGGCAGCGCTTCGCTGCCTCACGCGTCTCGCCTCCTCCTTAGCTAGCATGACTGCTTCGCAAAAGGAGGAGACGGCATCTCAGTCCCCCTCGCTCCGCATCATGGCCTGCACAAGGCCCGGACGCGAGAGGTCGCCATCGCCGATCACTTCCCTGAGGGCACGGCGGTGCTCAGCCCACGCAGGGCATTCCGCTACGGTGTGTTCCACCGTGTCCTCAGGGCGGTCCTCGCAGTGATGACACCCGGGCGTTTCCTACCGCCCCATCAGACACAGGTACCTCCCGAAACTTCCATGTCCGGTGAGGACCTGCGTTAGGCGGTAGGTGAGGACGCCGTAGCGTCTCTCAAGCCACTCCTCAAAGAGGGGTCTTACCGCTGCAATGGCAGCGAGCCCAATATATATATATTATAGAATCCCTTTTTCCCTTGGTCACGGCATCATGCGTAAATGGCTAGATCGATTTCACTAATTCTTTTTTTGTTGTATTAGGTATTATTAGAAGAAGGTTCTTAAGATAGAAAAAAATCCTGCCGGAACGGCAGAAAACGGGATTGCGCGTACGAAGTCGCGGGCAGAAGCTCGTTTCTTATATAATAGTGTATTTTATTAGGTACATTCCCAAGTCCGATAAAGAACGATGGAATGTAAGAATTGCCAAATTCTTATTCAGAGCTCGATGTTCGGAACTTAAGTTGGTCATTAGCAATTCACAAATGAACTGTTTAAAATCAAATTTAGAGAAAAATTGGAAATCGACCTCTTTCTTGAAATATAGAAGATATTAGGCAGTAATCTAATCCATCTCCCACAACAGTGGAACTATCAGAGACCAAATGACAATGACCAAATTTGTATGGAGCGTGGTGCCTTTTCATTTTTTCGCGGCAGTTGATCAGATGTGGATAAACTGATGCAGAATAACATTACAAACAAAAAAATGTATGGGGTCTTATATCAAAAACACAGTCCGAACCGAGTTAAATCAGTTCAAAGATGTGAAAATAGTGCTATATAATTCCTGCGATTTTGTTGATGGTGACCGTACACAAGAAATATTTTGTAATAAATGTTTATAGACGATATCAAGGAATATAATAAAGCTTATTGTGGACGTTTTTACTTATTTTTTTTGTTTGTTATATTTGATTTTTTTTGTTATAAGGCCACAGAATCAGAACAGAGTGAACCATTAACTCACCACTGCTGAAGAAAAAAAAATATTTCGTTTGATTGGCTAGCGTGTTCAATTTACATGTATACGGTTTATGACCTATGACAGATTTTCATGATCAATTTCCTCTCAGTCAAAAACCCGCAAAATACTTAACTGAGCCCTATCATGAAATGCTATGTTTGTCAGCTGCGGCGTCGGTAGCGGATTGAGTAGTAACAGTCGTCAAAACACGAAAAAATATTTTTTCTGTCTATTTCTCCCGACTTACCCACTTCCGATTAGTGACTAATCTAACTACAGTTAATACTTTAATCTACATACATCTAGCATAAGATTCTGTACAAAGACATCGTCATTCAGTCACAAAGTGATGCATTTCGAATGATCACATTATATAAAAAAAATTATGCGCTCATCTGACATATATTCCATCACTTTACAAAGTCGACGGTTTACTTTCTTCAAAAGATTATGCTAACTATAAAGTAGATGAGTCTCCCACTAGGATTCAACGGCAAAAAAATACTTTATTAGATGTTTGGACGGCTATAACTACTCAACCCACCACTGGTACCACAGCTGACACTCATGAAGCTTCATGACACAACCTAGAAGCATCCCACAAGTTATCGACTAAGAGAAAATAGGTAATAAAAATTAGTGACTGGCAATATGGATATATTGTGGTGTGATTTGGTGTTTCTGTGCCCGGCGTACAGTGGCGCGCAATTTGAAGTTAGGAATTGTGACAAAAATATGAATAATTTTAATAAAAAAAACTAAAGTAAAATGTTTGATTCCAGCTCCTTTTAACGCTCATAACTCAGTCCAGACTGAGATTTCCATATATGAGCCCATAGACAATTTCGTTTGTAATGACATTCTAGATAATATTTTTCATAAATCATCGACTGCCGCCAGAAAAAAGAAAGGCACCAATTTTAGTCAATGCCCTTTGACAAAAAATTCAATTCAAGTCTCTCAGTAGAAAGAAATGACGTTAACCTTTTTAACGTTTGTATTGTACATAACATAACATATACATAACATCACGCCTTTTATGCTCGAAGGGGTCGGCAGAGGTGCACATTACGCCACCTAATGCCACTGCATGTAACACCATTTTCACTATTAATTATGTTATAAGTCTCATGTAAATAGGGGGTGAGCCTATGTTTTGCCATATACCGGGCGTAATTCCAGATTTCGTGCTTCTACTGATATTTTTTTTAAATACCCGTACCCGAACCCGAGGCCCCTTGTTCAGCCGTCGAACTTGCCACCACTCGGCCAACAAGGCAGTCTTTTGTATTATCACATGATTGAAATTAGTTTACACTTAACTATTAATTACATTTTATCATGTTTACATTATATATGTTTACATAGACTTCAAAAGTCATGGTGTAGTTTATGTAAACTGAATGACAAGCATGATATAAGGTCATGGGGGCTTCATGATAAAAGTATGAAATCATGGAGAAATATCGTATGATGTATTTACGTCAAAATATAATTATCATGGTACTTGCGCAATACTTACCTAAAATTACAATGTATCTCTTCAGAAGTCCCATTGCAAAAGAACGATTATCAATATTTTTTTATTTTTTTTTTAAATCATCCAATACTGTTCATAATTTGGCAAGGCATAGTAAATTGTAAAGCTGGTTTTGCTTTGATGAAGAGAAAGGCATTTTAACCAAGATTTATATTTTCCAAAATTGTCAGCTGTTAAAAAATAACCTGCATAAAATCTGAGCAATATATAGGCTAATATCATAGTAGTAATATTTTGCAAGGCATAGTAAATTCTAAAGCTGGTTTTGCTTTGATAAAGAGAAAGGCATTTAACCAAGATTTATATTTTCCAAAATTGTCAGCTGTTAAAAAATAACCTGCATAAAATCTGAGCAATATATAGGCTAATATCATATCATACCTGACAATGAGGGTGAAGTGCAGCTAGACCTACTCTATAACGCTACGTAATGTTCCTTTTTGCCTACCCTTTATGAACAGATATCCTCAACACCAGTTTACTATTGTTAGAAGAACCTAACAATAGTAAACTCAACAAAAAAAGAATTAGCGAAATCGGTTCAGCTGTTCTCTAGATTAGCGCTTAGCAACACATTCAGTGATTCTTTTGTAATTGTAGACTTACCCGCGCGCGTCCATGACCAGATCCATAAACATAATATATGCAAAAGAAGTAAATATAAGGGATCGTATAATGAGACTAGGATAAACGCGTGACTGTAGTTGTCTACCAATCTACTCATGCAAATTATCTCTTCGACGATAAGTCTATCATAAATTAGACATTAAGTGCATCGTACATTAAAAAGCACACTTGATTGTGCACTAATGATCTCCTATAAATATACCTAATGTATATAGAACGCGTGTTTATATCTAACAAATCACATATTATATTTATATCATTCGCTATCATATAACTTTGTCAGCATTATTGTATGTATAATCTTGGTAAATCGATCGATGATATGATACGCTGGTATACATATAAATACAATATAATTTCTCCTGTATTATTGTGTATTCGAATAGTCTTTCGTTACCAGTGGACTGTGTTGCACGAGTTCTCGATATTTTCTTTTTTTTATATTCGTACTTTTTTAGTCTGTTTTTACACTACCTGTGTTAAACAGTGATATAAATAAATAATTCAGTAAGTACTATGGTAGGCTGTTAGGTTTTATATGCAACCTATTATTCCGTCAATCCAGAATCAATAAAAAAAATATTAAAAAAACACTCATAGCTTAACACCAGGCGAGATAGTGGTCAAACGTCCGCCCATCAAACATAAAAAACCACTCTTTGGTTACGATAAAAATAATTTTCAGTTTAGTTTTATAATAAAGTGTGTATTTATAAAAAAACATATAAGCACAAGCACCTCGTTTAAGTTATCATTAATTACAAATTACTACAACATCTAAGAACCTAAATTGTACAGAGTATAAAAATCAAGAAAAAATCTATTTTCAACTAAAAGCATTAGGAATATCAGTAATACAAATACTACATAACTTCATTATTTTTTAATGTCAGCGTTTCAGTAAGAAAATTTTCATATGCTTCTTTAATTGAGGTCTTTTAAAAATAATCACTTAAAATCAATAGATATATCTATAATTCATACACACTCTTGACTTTGATAAACTTTATACCTACCTATCATTATTTTTGACCATACTTATACTCAAAAGACATTCTCTTTTATAGGCCATGCATTCAGACAAAATCAAGGTGCCTGCGCCGAAGATCCAAAACAGGCAGTTTGTGAAGCCCCTCCTGTGTGGTCCAGGACCCTGTGACTACTGGCCTTCAGTTACTGAGGCCGTTGCCTACCCTTGCATCACACCAAACTGCGAGGAATTCTATAATGTATGTACTGCTATGATAAGTAAAGAAATATTTATAACTTATAACAAGTGTTGCAGGCGTACATAACCCACGGTAACCGCTTACCATCAGGTGGGCCGTTTGCATTTTTGCCACCGTCGTGGTATAAAAAAAAGAACTTATCATATTTTAAAAAAGGAGATAGGACTACAAATTTGGTTAAGAGGTCACAAAGGTGACCTCCGACCATGAAAATTATAGTGTGGGAGAGCCATGCTTCGGCACGAATGGGCCAGCTCGACCGGATTGATACCACGGCCTCACAGAAAACCGACGTGAAACAACGCTTTCGTTGTGTTTCGTCGTGTGAGTGAGGTTACCGTAAACGTGCTGATGGATCACCTGATGGTAAGCAATCGGCGTCGCCCATGGACACCTGGAATACCAGAGGCGTTACAAGAGCGTTACCGGCCTTTTGGGGATTAGGAGTTTGAGGATCGTTGGGGATTCTGGAATTGGGGAGATTGGGGAAAAGGAAGGCGAAACACAACGCAAGCTTGTTGCTTCACGTCGGTTTTCTGTAAAGCCGTGGGATCACTCCGGTCGAGCCGGCCCATTCGTGCCGAAGCATGGCATTCCCACACTTAAAAATTGACGTTTATTCGATCAGCTGATTATATTACGAAGTTGTGAAGTGAAGTTGGAAATTGTGGAACTAACAATGACTTGATTTATTTATCAGTTGTAATTACTACACTCGGTACAACTGTAATCAAAATATGATAGTAGCAGTTATGATAAGATATCTTAGTTGTTATGGATCAAAATAGATAAAGTTGTAAATAATACGTGTATCTTTAAAAATATACTATAGCTTAGTTGCTAATGTAAACGATACTATAGCAATAAGGTTGTATAACCTACAATTCAAGTGTGTGAGAGCCATGCTTCGGCGCGAATGGGCCGGCTCGACCGGAGTGATACCACGGCCTCACAGGAAACCGACGTGAACCAATGCTTGCGTTGAGTTTCGTCGTGTGAGTGAGGTTACCGCAGGCTTTATAATATAAAAAAAATGCAGTTTACCAATTTTAAGGAATTCCAATTGCGATAATCTCTGTGCTACTATGCAATTTTAAAACAAAACATTTGTTAGGCAACCAATTACAGTTAATGTGGATGTACTTATTCTGGTGTGGCAACCACATCTAGATAAATATAGTTTAGGGAACCCTCCAGCTAAGTAAAGTGACGATATGCACAAGATGGCCAGGTGTTGGATGCGAAAAGCTGAAGGACAAGATAGATAACTTATTACAATTTTTTCTTTACTTTTTCTTTTTTTTTTAATGTTGCCCCACGCTAGGACTTTCTCCTGTGTCGTGGGTGCGTTTACAAACATACAAGTGCACGTACACAATGACACCCAAACCCGAAACAACAATTTATGGATCACACAAAGTATTGTTCCGTGCGGGAATAGAACCCGCGACACGTTGCACGGCAGCCGGTTGTCCAGCCACCGCACCAACCGTGTAGTCAACAATGTAATTCTTTATCTCTTTTTCAATAACTAGACCACAGGGACACCTTTAAAACTCGTGAGAGAGAACCTCAGTGGATTTTGTCCCATTAGAAAACTAATTAAATTCAATTGCAAAGGTCTATTTAATTAACATTTCTTCTACAGGTGCTAGACGAAATTCGAGCAGGCTTGCAGTACATCTTCCAAACTCAAAGTAAACTGGTGCTGGCTATGTCTGGAGCTGGCCACGCTGGCATGGAAGCCGTGATCAACAACCTGGTAGCTCCTGGTGAGACCCTGCTCATCGCAGCGAGGGGTATATGGGATCAACGCGCAGAAATCATCGCTAAAAGGCTGGGTAAGTAACTTATCTTACTCGTTGTGCTACTACTTCATATAGGGATCCAGAATAATTAACTGAAGGCTACTGAGTTGATATTTCTAATAAAATCAGTTTACATATTTTTTAATCCACAACCAAAATCCAGATACAATTATTTTTATTCCCCTATTAGCTTTGACCTTTGGCTTCGGCTTTGTTCACGTATGCTGGTTTTATCCCGTGGGAGCATTTAATCGTGATAAATAGTTATCATTTCACCTAAGTCAGCCCATACCCTGCCTGTATACCAGTATAGTTTCAGCAAGATTGACGGACAAACATCCAAAGAAACTTTCACATTTTTAAGTTAGTGTGATGAAATCCTTGATAAACCTTGTATTTGCAGTCTTTTATTTCTATTCAAGGAATTAAAGTCGAAGTAACCCGCGTTCCAATGAACACTACCTTCGGCCTAGAGCAAATAGAAACCGAATTAAAGAGATTGCGCCCAGCAGCCTTGTTTATCACCCATGGCGACTCCTCAACAGGAACGGTACAGAAAATGGATGGTTTAGGCCAACTTTGTCACAAGTAAGTTCTGCCTAAAGATTGCAAAGTCATGTCATTAAATTTTATGACAATGTTGACAAGAAATAGAAAAAAACAAGTAATAGTCGTTAAAACAGTAAACAACGACAGTACAGGTCCACAAAATGCTTCGATCAACAATAGCAACTAGATAAAGGGTTACGTACAAAATCAAGCTCCAGTTCTGTCCGTGTGAATAATAATAGTAAAAAAATAACAAACTGAGAAAAATGTTTTAAAATGGTTTTAAGGTGAACCTAATAACAACCATGGCACCTAATAATAAAGTCATAAATCGTCAAAATATTATCTAATACTTACGACCATTCGTCACATAAGACGAGAAAAGCATTTTCTTACTCCTGTCATGTAGAATTTAAAAGACATAAGTTATAAAATATCTAGTTTGAATTCAACCTTAAGCTAGAACAAATAAAGATAATTTTTCCGTTATTGCGTTGTGATCTATATCGTTTTGTTTTGTTTCGTTTTGCTTCTTCGAATTTTGAATTTCGCTACAGGAGGTATGTATGGAGTCGTGTTGAACACTAAAATAATTTTATTTTCGGGATCTTAGTATACATCACTTATTTTTATTAGCGGTACGTTTTTGTGTATCATATGTTTATTAACTTTGTCATTAAAAGTCTAAGTCAAAATCATTTATTTCAGTTAGACCAGGAAGGCACTTTTGAACGTCAACAATATAAATTTAAAAGTGAAGCTATTTGCTCATTCCAAGGTGTAGATTCCTATGGAGAAGAACGAGCAAGAAACTCTATAGGTTAAGTACTCTTTTCCAATCAGGTTACAATACAAATTTGTTTTAAAATACAAATCGACTCCATGCATCCACTGTTCTGTTTAAACAAATGTTTGTGCGCGTGTTGATGAGGCTTGGCCAAGGAATCGCCAACACACGCACAAACATTGGTGGCGTTGATTTATAATTGGTAATTTTGTCTAATTTGATATTTTTTACTAATTTAAAAGCTTAAAATATAACTTATACTTTATTTACTAATCGAAAGTAAGACACTCCGGCCGTTATACTGCCTTTTCGGTTATTATTTTTGCAACTTGCAATTACACACTGCAGCATCGTGAGACGTGATTACGTTGGCCATGTTTGGAGCATACTAAACAAAATAAGAGCTCACTTTTCAAGTGAGCTCTTATTTGTCGAGACGATTTTCTTGCGCCGACCCGATATCTAGTTGTTATTGTTGATCGAAGACAAAATGCGATTTTATAACTACTTACAATAACGTAATAAAACATAATATCCTTAATACAGTATTAAACCTCTTTTATTGCAAAATTAATGGAGTTTATGGCAAACTGGCCATTTTTCACAAAAAAATAGAAGATGCCATAATTATTTAAAAATATGAAGAGCCTTTTTTATTCTGACAGTCCAACCAGCCAGTATCAAATGTTTCATTTCTAACTAAAACCTCGTTGAATAGTTGGTATATATTTTATATATTTCCTACTTATTTTAGGTATGGAGCCCTACTTCTAGTAGATACTGTGGTCTCACTTGGTGGGCACCCGTTCTTCATGGACGAATATGAAGCAGATGGAGTATTTTCTTCAACACAGAAGGCTTTCAGTGGCCCTGCTGGAATATCTCCTGTAGCATTCAGTACACGAGCTGAGTAAGTTAATACTTATTGCTTATTAGTAATGTTAATAATACTCATGGCAGTTTATATTTTTCCTACTATTCATGAGTTTCAATAGATTACTATACCCATGAAACAGGTACTGATAACTACCTACTTTCACCATTAACTAAAAAATAATTAGCTTTTTGACCAAATGAGATAAAAAAATATGCTGTTTTTTTTTCAGGGAGAAGATAAATAACAGAAAGCACGAACCTTCTTTCTACTTCGACGTCAAATTATTAGCGAATCAGTGGAACTGTTATGGTGATACCAGAGTGTAAGTGTTTATTTTTATACATTATACATTTTATTATCAACATAACAATATATGCAGAGGTGTACACAATGTAACACCAACTTTTCATCATGAGCCTTTTGCCATTCACCGGGCACAATTTCCAGACTCCTAGTTATTACTAAAATATATCAAAAATACAAAAAAACTCGATATTACTTTTACCCTACCCAGGAATCATTACGCGCCTTTGCTCGGCATTATAAAATTTATAAATAAAAAACTATTGTAATTTCGCCATAAGTTATTGACGTAGATAAATTACATGTCGAAATAAAATGAAAACAATAATAGAAATAAAAGCATAACAAAAATAATCTCACTTAATCAATTAAGATAAATTATAACGATAACTCAAAATATACTGTCGTTCAAAATATAAAATACATTTCGACATTAATTTATATCAATCAACATGAATATTCTTATTAAAGTTTTACTTCAATAATAATATTAACTTATACAAAGGTAAGTAATTTTATTTATTCAGTTAATGTGCACACAGACTTTAATATTACATTTCTGAAATTTAATTTAAGTACCTATGTATATTCCAATATTTCATTATATTATTTAAAAGGTTTCAGTTTAAATTGGTTTCAAAAAGTACGAGAGTGTTTGATGCAAAAGCACAGGTTCATTCTAAAATAAACACATCATTTACGTTACTCTTTTTCAATCAGGTTTACAATACAATTATCTAGTTACTTTAACTGATTTGACTGCACTAGTTCGGCACCTGACTGCTCCACATTGTTTTTTTTATGGGATAAGCGGTAAACGAACAGGCAGATCGCCTGATGGTAAGCATGGACACCTGGAACACCAGTGGCGTTACAACTACGTTATCGGCCTTTTGGGATTAGCTGGCCCATTCGTGCTGAAGCATGGCTCTTTCACCCCTCGCCGGCCTTTTATCACGGGTTAGACTTACACATAAAAAAAGGAAACAACTTAATACTATTTAAAAGCTAAACTAACCAAAAATACCTCTTTAACCAACTTCTTCCTGCCTCATATCCTCAGATACCACCACACGATGAGTCCACCAATGCTGTGGGCTTTAAGAGCCTGTCTCCAGGAGGTCTCCAATGCAACCCTGCCAGTGGCCTGGGCGCGTAACGCTGCGAGCACCGCACACTTCCACAAACGTCTTCAAGAATATGGCTTCGAGTTCTTTGTTCCGAAACCTGAGGAAAGACTGACTACTGTTACCACAGTGGTCCTCCCGAAAGGAGTTAATTATTTAGAGTTCACTGCTGTTTTGAGAGAAAAGTAAGTATATACAGAATATGGTATTCATTCATCTATATGCATTAGTAAAATTCTTGTTTCTATAAATTACCATCTCATTTCGTCAGTCTAAAAGTCTCTGAATATTTCCTATAGGAGCCCAGTAGGCCAATAAAAACACATAACACATAACATCACGCCTTTTATCCCTGAAGGGGTAGGCAGAGGTGCATATTATGCCACTGTACAATGTAACACCCACTTTTCACTATTTATGTGATGGGTCCCATGTAATAAAAATTAATAGGCTTACCCCCTGGTAAGCCTATTAAAATTATTTTCATAATATACTAGTAGGTAGTAATTGGAGAACTACTAATACCTTTTTGTTGATAATGATGTCATAAATTACAATGACATCATCGTCTACAATTAAATATTGATAAAAGGAGTTTACCGGTCAATAGATTCAAACGAGTTCAAATTACTTAAGAAATAATTATTAAGTTTACCTACTTAATTGCCAAACAATGAAGTGAAAATCTACTAAAAACTTTGACATATGAGGATAGAGAGCCTTTTCTTATCTCTCTTCTAAATCCTCAAAAGAGGGCGCCACAAGAGCGAAATAATTACACGCCGTAATACTAAGCATACAGCAAATCGATCCAGTCAAATAAAGTGAAATCCATTTTCCAATCAAGACCAGACTTAATCGATAAAAATTCGAAGAAATATTTGTAAAAAGATTTTAATATCCGTTTGTTTATTAATTTTTTTACTATTACAGACATAATATCCTAATACTGGAGGGCCGTGGTCCTACTGAGGGCAAAGCCCTAAGAGTGGGCATCATGGGTGCTAACGCAAGAACTGAAGTAGCAGATATCCTGGCAGATGCAATGGCGGACACGTTAAAAACTATGTTATCGTCATCTTAATTATTTTTTTACTTTTTTTGTAATGTGACACGATAATGTTATTTTGTGATAAATAAATCGAATTATAAATTTATCTCTCAATATAAATCTATGTAAATACTGAAATAACAAGTTTGTATTTTTCATTTCCCATATTTTAACCTTACCCCTGTTACTATGTAATATTTAGCACATCAAAACAGTGTACTACTGTATTATCATTTAGGAAAAAACAATGAAAATCTCAATTTTAAAAAATCTTTGCCCGACCTCAAAAGTATTTATTTTAATTAAACCATAATTTAGTACATTTGAAACGTCAACAAATATAAAATAAATAATAGTCTGTCAGTCTGTCCGTCAGTGAAACTAGGGTGTCGTAAACGTATTATATCTACTTGTACAAGCATAGAAACTGAAATTCAGTTTGTTCTTTTTCAATTAACTTACCGCTTATTACAAAAACACGATAAGCAAAAAATGCACACTACTCATGCATACTATGATTACAAGTACACCTCAGCCTACCTCTGGAGAGCAAAAAGGCGTAAATATGAGTCTGGCTATACAAAAAGATAACAAGCTTCCCACAATCTTATAAATAGTTATCTATGACATAAATAAAAACCCCAATTCCAAAGATAATTCGACAATCATTATCTTAATTTATCAAATCTATTGGAATGGGTCAATAAAGTGTAAAATATCAGATAAAATCGATAACCCGAATTGCCCCATGCTTTATTCCATAAAGTTCTGAGTTCAAATTTCTGTTAAGGCAAGAGTTATATCCTTAAAAAATTACTTAACTGCAACTATTAATAAGTTTTCGTATCTTTCGTTGATTTTGTATCAGATAATATTAAAAGGCAATAAAGCCAAAGTCAACAAAAGAAATCTATTTATGAAATACAATAAAACTATCAACTTACTCTAATTCGTCCTGCCCATATAACCTAAAACCCCATTAATTAATTTAAGATCTCATATCTATCTATCCCAAGTTAGCCTACCTTCGACCATTGACCCCTAAGCCTCTTTAGCTAGCACAATAACAGATAATAAACATACAAAAATCACATGACGTCATCTTTTAATAGTTTCCATAAACAAAAATCTATTAATGTTCTAACACTACCCACCAAAAACGTCTTAATAGACTTAGATTAAAATAATGTACACTTACCCTCACTCCAACCACAAAACTTTGGGAATCAACTCACCCAAAGAACCCTAGAGCCTTCCTAAGTCGCCTTTTATACAACCTCGATGAGAGTGGTGTGCATTTTTGCACACGAAATAATTATCGTGAAAATTAATCTTGATAATTTCGAACCCCTCTACAGGCAATTACATCATTGTATAGTTTTATCGTCACACATAAATACATAAACTAACGACCACCATTATATCGTCAGTTCTCGTTAGCCGGCCGTGGCGGTAACATAACCCTTTGTGGTCAATTAGTGAAGTGAAAAGTGAATATTTTCGGAATCTGTGATTTACCATGTGAGTGAAAACTTTTTAAGATTTTTATAAAGATAAGGACGTATTAAGATAACACAGCGCTATAACTTCAAGTTCGGTTATCCACAAGTCCGATAACATTACGAACATAAATCAAGATCAAATGTAAACAAACAAATATTCATGTCGCATTTTGCGGCATTAGCTCCGACAAGGAGGTGATATTCCTGCCGGAGCGGAGCTGTTTGTAAGCGTGAAGGTCCCGACGGCGGGTCGTTCGTCTTTCGCTCCGCTGTGTCCCGCCGGGAAGCCGGGATCGCTTCGACAGTCGCGATGGGAATCGAATCAATTTGTCGAGACAACATTGCGCTCGTTCGATCTTCATCCCGCGTCTTCGTCTTATATAACCTCAGATCTAGCTTGGGAACGACGAACTATCATGTCAATAAGCGCGCTGCCAAATGCACTCTTGACCCCTCTTATCTGTGGCACGGTTAACGTTGAAATACATTCGTGTTTTGTTTTTTAAGCGACCATACTGTGAATGAATGGTAAACTGGGATATAAAAACAATTGTTAAACCGCAGGCTACCAACGATAGCATGTGGAACAAATATGAGGCTGGCAAGCGGCGCTCGCCTCGGGCGAGGCGCACTTGCCAAATGTGCCATCCGATAGCGCCAGAACATTGTACGAAATTTACAACCACCCTATTAGCACTAAATCTAAACATTAACCCGATTCCGGTAACCAAACTTCACGAATACTTGCGCTGAATATCGGTCACTGAGTGCGAGGTAGTTTCACTGAAATGATCTTGTATCTGGGTGGTAATAAGTATTTGCATCGAAATGAGATCAATTAAAATTTATCTAGCGAAAATTAGGTACAACTAATTTAAACATGAGAGAGATGTAACTCAGTATTCAGAAATAGATTATGAAACCCATCTACAGAACAAGACCATTTCTACATCCACAAGTCGTAACATAGTCGTTTCTTCTTCCAGAAAATACTATCAAGATGTCTTCCCACAAGTTCATAGTAGCTCCTCCAAGGATTGAAGACAGAGAGGTCGTGAAGCCGCTACTATGTGGACCAGGACCTTGTGACTACTGGCCTTCCGTGGAGAAGGCACTCAGCAAGCCTGTTCTTTCTCCGATCTGCGAGGAATTGTTCAAAGTAAGTAGTAGTGTTTTGTAATGTTTTGATGAGATCAACACGTGGACAGTGTACAGCTGTTAACGACTGTTGCTATCTACTCGCTGCGTCACTTGTACTTAGACGGGGTCGACCTTATCACCTAGTTGATAACTAAACAAACATTCGCTGTACAATCACACTAACAGAGGTCCTTACTCTTCCCTATTGTACTTTCATTTAGCCTAAGGTTATTAGGTTCCCTAACATTTGAAGGCAAGCAGGGAAAAGTTCGTGATGTCATTGTGCTTACAACACACGCGTGTTTATTGTTCGTATGCAAAAACAAAACCTGGTCCTATGTACTCAGGTGAAATTACATGAATAATATAGTAAGGTCTCTCTCATGAGTTACAAGAATGCTGCACACCGCAATAATCCAGAGTGTTTGCAGAGTAAGTAAACAACCTTTTTGAGTTTGTTCCCATTATATAAGGGTTGGCAAACATACAGCCGTCCAAGGTCAGGCCTTGTCATATCTCAAGAGGTAGCTCAAATATGAGTTGAGGTTTTCTTTTCATATTTCGCGTTCGAACTTAATGACGCCTTTCTTCAACTGAATACTTATTTGAAATGTAATTCTCAATGAGAGGGCTTAGTTATACTTCTTTGGGTTTATTTGTTGGGTAATTGGTTATCTTCTTTAAAGGAAAGTATGGGGCTCTACGTAATATCGTTATTAAGCGTGTTTATCCTATTTTTTTTTTATAAAAAAGTTCTTTACTGCTAAGCCTGATTAGTGACTATGGTAACTTCTTCGTCTTACTGTAGCACATAATACCATATACGTACCTTACTCATTGTTCAAACGTGTAAGAAGTGCAGTGAAGAACACGACACTGCACTGCCCTAAACTGCAGTTTAAACATGTATTTAAACTGCCAAACACCGCGAGGACACCGGTGACCGCAACCTATTGTTCTTCAATTGTTGCGCAGAACCTAACGGGTAACCGGGGCTCCGGCTCGACGTGCAGGAGAAGGAACGGGGTGGTTTTTAGTCAACAAGAGTCTGACACTCCCTCCCGCCTCACCCAGGCGGGAGCAGTAATTCGAGGATTTTCCCCACTTAAAAAAAAAAATTAAAACATACGTTTTTTTTCTTTTCATTCCAGGTCCTAGAAGACATTCGTGTTGGCTTGCAGTATGCGTTTCAAACTCGTAGCAAGCTAGTGATGGCCACGAGTGGGTCTGGCCACTCCGGCATGGAAGCCATTATCAGCAACCTAGTGGGACCTGGCGAAACATTGCTTATCGCTTCCAGGGGCATATGGGATCAACGCGCACTCATGATAGCCACTAGATACGGTAATTTTGTAATAATTATGTACAAAGTATAATATCTTCAAATGACGTCATCGTCATCAATATCTTCATGTAAAAAAATACAATATAGTCTTTTTACTTGACAAATTATTAAAACACTATTTTATATGATTTCTATTATTTCACGATACTTTGTGTGCTATTCAATGATACTAGCTTTACATAAATAATGAACAGTTTCTTAAAATGACTTCTCCAATTTCTCCGATAATTTTTGCATTCCTGACTTCGGACTTCAAAGACTTGACGCCTTTGTCATGATTTCAGGCATAAAAACCAAAGTGGTGAGTATCCCAATGGACACTACCTTCAGTCTTGCACAACTGGAGCCTGAACTGAAGAGGATACGTCCAGCTGGCCTCTTCATAACTCATGGGGACTCCTCAACTGGAACACTACAGAATCTTGAGGGCTTAGGCGACCTTTGTCACAAGTAAGTACTTATGTAGTATCTACAAGTACCAAATTTCCTTGATAAAGGATAAAACAAAATCAAATCAACCATAGATTTTCTCTATTCTCTAATTAAGGAATTAAAAAATATTATGATCAAATATAAGTCACTACATTAAATTTTAATTTTAAAAAGCAAAAAGACGCGTAACAATGACATTCTAAAAATGCTGGCCGGTTTTAATTAAAGTAAAGCAAGTTACAGCCATATTAAATCATTATGAACAAATTAGTGAAAAAGAAAACATTAATGGCGTCCCATAATTATTTCGAGCACGAATGACCAGTTAACACAAAATTAAAAATATTAAGGAAAGAGGTTTAAATACTTTAGAATTATTATGTAAACAAACAATATTTTTTTCTTAATTTTGGTGGAATTATAGGTAGTACTTATTAGTTTTTTTCTTTATACATTTTTTTTTAATACTCTGTGGTAACGAAAAAGAGCCTTAATTTGAAAAAAAAATTAGTTATTTGCATAAAAATAAAGGACAATAAAGTCAGAATGTGTAGTTACAAGTCTAGTTCAAAGAAAGGCTAATGGTTACCAATAGTGCTAAATAGTTATTGAATTGAATCTAGTCTTAATCAGCCGACCTATTTTTACAATGGTAACCTAAAGAAGACTATCATTTCCATAACTAAGAACTAGTTAATCACTTTTACAAAATCTTTTAATTCCATTGTGTTGTTTGTAATGAACGGCAAATTCAGTAATGTTCGTATTTTCAATACTTTTATTCTAACTAATAAATGTAACCACCATTAGTCAATAGTCACAAATTGGCACAAAATAATATAATTCATCAATAGGGGTCAAAATAAAATTGTACGTAACTTTAAACGATGGGCTAGTTAACGAAATTCATCGGTCCTTTAGCTCGTGTCTGTCAACTTAACGAACTGCTGTAAAAACCACGAGCGGGGCCTTTATCCAATCTGTACTAAAACCATTCCTCCTGTCGCCCTTTCTCTTCCAAATTAAAAAAAAAAACAGCGAACTTTAGCAGAAAAACTATTTGATTGCCCGAGGAACAGAGACTGGGACACGGGGACCGAACAATTTAATTACACTCGTTGTCTCTCTCATTCCTGACTTGGCTTTTTACTTAGATCTAGGTCTGAATACGTTCTAGTTGAAAACTCTTTAATTGCATCCTGGGAAGGAGTCTGCAATTAGCATGCAGTGGAAAATACCGAGCGCGGTAAAAGTTAAGATAAAAAGTTTTTCGGTGATTCCGACCGACTATTTGAAATTTTTCCTTGGGTACTTTTTCTTTAAGCGTTGTAGTTCAACTTGACTTGCTTTCTACTCTAATACTTACTTGTAAACTGTCCTTTGAGATGCTGAAGTATTTTATTTGACTTAGCTACAAGTTGCTGTAGTTTTTCTTCTACTGTCGTTCGTTCATCTGTCGTTGTTTGTCAATTTTGATGTACTTACATATATTTTTATTAATTTATTTTAATGAACCTTAATCTTATTGTAATATAAACACGACGGTTATCATTACCATGCTCAGAAGAGCAACAAAATTAGAACATGATACAGAAGCATCATGTTCTAATTCTGTATACAAGCAATATCCTAATATTAAAAAAATATTTCAGATATGGAACTCTACTCCTGGTCGACACCGTAGTCTCGCTCGGAGGAGTTCCATTCTTCATGGACGAGTGGGGAGTCGATGGCGTATACACTTCCACGCAGAAGGTGTTCAGCGGACCTGCTGGCATCTCTCCTGTAGCATTCAGTGCTCGTGCTGAGTAAGTTTACTTTGTTTTTAGGAAAATAACACTTACTTAAAATGTTGGACCTTATTTAATCATATTAATACTTATTTACAAGTTACTTCGAAGTTGCATCAATACACTAATTGCAACAATCCACTAATTTTTGTATTTTTTCTGTTTGTCTAGACAAAAACTGAACAGCAGAAAGCACAATCCTCCTTTCTACCTGGACGCCAAGCAGTTAGCTCTTCAATGGAGCTGTGATGGAGTCACAAGAACGTAAGAATATTATCATGTTTACAAACAATGAAATAAAAAAAGAGTTTAACAATCAAACCAGAGATAATTATTAACACTTTCATTTCCTCCATTCAGATACCACCACACGCTAAGTTCACCATTGTTGTGGGCCCTCCGAGCATGTCTCCAAGAGCTGGTAAGAGAAACCCTACCAGTATCCTGGGCTCGTCACGCCGCCAGTACTGCACACTTCCACAAACGTCTCCGGGAGTACTCCTTTGAATTCCTCATCCCGAAGCCAGAAGACCGCCTGGCAACTGTCACAACTGTGAAGCTGCCGAAAGGATACGACTATCGAGGATTTGTGAAATATATGAGGGAGAAGTAAGTTCATTTGCGTTACTTAGATTAACACGTTGAACGCCATGGGGGAGACAACGTATGGGCCACGCTAGCGGAGGATTTACATACTTTCAACGGTTTTCTGTCGGCAGTCAAAGTCTTAAGTTATATTAGGATTTTTTTAAGGGGGGAAAATCATCGAATGGCTGCTCCCGCCTGGGTGAGGCGGGAGGGAGTGTCAGACTCTTACTGACTAAAAACCACCCCGTTCCTTCTCCTGCAAGTTGAGCCGGAGCCCCGGTTACCCGTTAGGTTCTCCGCGACTCCGAATCGGCAACAGCCCTATTGGGCTCCATCTGTGGTGGTCTGATGGCTCTTTGAGGCGCGCGCGGAACGCGACGCGCCGTACGCTCGGGAGGTTATATTAGGATTACTCCTATCAGGAGTAATTCTAATGTAACTTTAACTTCGAGTGGTCAAACTCGACTTCTTAAACCCCTTCCAAAATCTACGATACTCTCAGTGTCATGTGATATAAAATGAATGTAATAATTGAAGCACCGCACCGCCTTGTTCATGAGACCCACGACCCACATTAATTAGGTTGTCTTTTCGATATTTTTTTTGTTAAGTATCTAATAATCTTTTAACATCTCCACAGCCATAAGATCCTTATCTTCGCTGGACTAGGACCGACAGTAGACAAGGCACTTCGCATTGGCATCATGGGCGTCAACTCCACAACGAAAGTCGCTGATGCAGTAGCTGACGCCATGGCTGATACCCTTCGAGCTCTCAAGAAATCTTCTCTTTAAGTTAATAAATTAAATCAACTCAATTTGCCTTTTGACAAGGTAATAAATATCTTTATGAATAATAAAATTGTAATTTTATAAATAAAAATTATAATTAAAATAAAATGACTGAAATAAAATTTCATTTAATTTTATCAATACCTAAATCTGGAGCTTGGGTTGGCGAAAAACTGTTCATCACCTGTCTACACGCTAGATTGTACCATTCCATTACGAATGGATAATATTTCACTATTACCCCTCCAGACCACCACGGATTGGACCCAATAGGGCTGATGTCGGTACGGAGCCGCGGCAATCATAAAAAGTCGACTCCGACCGGGGCTCCGGCTCGAGGTGCAGGAGTAGGAACGCGTTGATATTTAGTCCATAAGAGTCTGACACTCCCTCCCACCTCACCCAGGTGGGAAGAGTCATTCGATGATTATCCTTCCTTAAAAAACCCCTCCACCAATGTTTTACACAACAGATCTATTCATAACTCGAATGATATTCATACCCTTTCACCCTTATGCTCTCGCCATCGATGCTACTCTAATATTCAAACTAGCTTTTACTCGCGGCTTTGCCCGCATATTCCTATTTTATCCCATGGGAGCATTTAATCGGGATAAAAATGGATGTTATCACCTAAGTCAGCCCATACCCTGCCTGTATACCTTTATCAAATTCCGTGATTGAATCATACAAATAACGAAACTTTCATATTTCTAATATTAGTGTGATTTCAGCTTTGGGCCACCAAGATACAGGCTGCGCCTAGTTTGGGGCCCACGGGCACCTCTACCGTATCTGTATTTATGTAAATACTGTTTGCTTCCATGCCTACATGTAATCTAACTTGTGTATGCCAATAAACAAATTTTATTATTTTATTCAGGAATAATATTTTCTACACATCTTGCATTTTTGTTAGTACTGATAAAATTAGAGGACGTCCTTTGAAGTTCTTCATTGATCAAGAGATGATAGTGAAATAGTGATGATTCACTATAATCGGTTTGTCGAATTTTGAAGTTAAAAGTGACCGAATAGATTTTGATTTTGGTACTTACTATATTCAATTGTTCGTGTCTTGTAGCTGAATACGGAAACAATGAGGTTGTAGGACAAAATGAAATCCATAAAATTATGTTCACAGGTCATTTATTTCATATCAATGTATGACGGTTTACAAACTATTGACTGGATGTGTCTAAGACAACCCAAATAGCATGATAAATACCACAAATTTTTACATAGAAATTCAATATTCTCCAATTCCATTTAAACAGTTCTAGAATAAAATAAAATTGAATATCATCCCGTTAAATACCAGTACATAGGTAGGTATTGAATGCAGTGATTTATTAAATAGAAAAACAATGCAATACAAGCGAGTTCATAGTATTCTTTATGGCTATTAGTTATGTTATTCGCAAGCCATAGGTGACTAACTTCCTATTGTTAGATTATACAAAAAATATATTAGAACCAAGATAAATCTTGCGCTTAACCGAGTGATATTCTCGTTATGTCAAAATAAAAATTAAAATAATAGTAATAATAGCCAATCTAACATTTTTAAATAATACAACAAACTCCTCAAAAAATTTTGACAGGACTAGAACCCACAACAAAACGTGAAAATTAAAAAAAAAAAGTACGTAAATCATTTACAAATTATTTTTGGCAAATGGACTCTCTTTAAACAAAAATCAAATTGCTAAAATACGTGCTGAAACGGCACAATATGAAATCCGGGGACTTCGGTCACGTGGTGTATAAACTGCAGCGCCTAAATTAATCCAATAGCAATTTACATAAAGCCGCCTTACCGCGCCCGCGCATAACATTTGTAAAAGGCGTTTCATCACGTCACATGACCTACAACGCTTCAGTTTGTACACCCTGTGACTACAATCGTCGGACACAACTTACAAGTAATAAATTCCTATTATAATCAGTATTGAAAACAGACGTATCGCTAGCTACATGGCATTCATATCCATCACATCGAAACATTTGGACTAGCTTCCTTAATTACGTAACTAACCCGTTAAACTAGTAATTAAACAAAACTAGTCACGTTTGCGTAAACTACACCTTACATTATTATATTGTTTTATATCGGTACAATACGTTATAGGTATCAATGTATACACTTGAAATGTAAACTATAATGACATTAATATTTACAAAATTTATTAAAACAAACGCATATAAAGTCTATTGATGTACGTGTAAGAAAACCTCATTACTCCAGTCTCCGAGGCATATTCCAATGCATAAGCCACTGGGATTACATTCCATTACTATGTATAAATGTAATTATAAGTCGAAGCAACATCAATTCCAATATGTCGGTTGTTATTGTCTACAATATAACATTAAATATCTCCTCCCTTGTCCACTACAACTAGATAAAATAACGCAGGTAATAGAGTTACCGATCATTACATGTAATGACACTCGTGGTATTAAATATACGATATACAAAACTAAAAGCAAATGCACAAACAAGGCGACCAATAAGATAGCATTTGTGATGGTTCATACATGATTACCTAAACGTGCGGTTATCCCGTATCATATACAATAGAGACGTAAATAAATATGCACATAAGTAGTAATTATAATTTATATTTACATTTAAGAAAATATGGCACATCTGTTATCGACCGCGCTCGCAATCCTTGTCTAACGACCGAGCGATCGAGCCCTACCACTAAAATAATACGAATCAGTATCGGATCATTGTAATGCGCCTAAATTTCGGGTTACCATAATACCAATTAAAATACCGGTGGGTAAGTAAATATTCAACGCCGTTAAAATAATACACAGTAAAGCTACCGTCCGTCGTCGATCGACTCCGAGCCTCCACGCGGCCGACCGTCCTACCGCCTCCTACCGAGTCACGCCGCGGCCGTCGCCGTCGCCGCTACCGAACGCGCGCACCGACGCACTCCGCCACATCCACTCACTCCGATGATAACAATAACCTCTAATTGGCCAAGCCTCATATTTTTATCCATACAGTCAATAACAATTGTATCTTGCCCGATATAGTGTAGCAAAATTTTACTTCTGTATTCGCCATACTCGTGCTAACAAGAGTCACGTCTTGTACTGCACTGAAACTGTCAGTCAGCGTGTCGTGTGAGTCGCACCGGTCGTTCGGTTCGGTGACGGCACGCCACCGATGACGCAAACTAAAACTAGAGACACATTCGAATCGCACGAGTACATAAAAATATGTCAGTCTATAGAGCTACGCGCTCACTCACTTAGCCTACGAGCAGTCTGGGGTATAGACGGGGTGGTCGGGCGCAGTAATACTGTGTCCGGGGAGTGTCGCGCGCGGGCGGGCTGCACGCTCAGCTGGGCGGCGGCGGCGCGGGCCGCTCCGTGCGCGGCGCGCGCTGCCGCCGGTGTCGCGTGCACGCGCAGCACGCGTCCACGCGCCGTCGCCGCGCGCACGCCGCGCGTCCGCATCGTTTGCGCACACATGTCACCTCCCCGTCCTGAAACACACACGATCACTTGTTTAACGAACATCTTTACACCACCATTTATTGAACGATTACAAATTCTTGCTTTAGTTTTCCGATAGGTATTGTGTAGAAGGTAAGATTACCTTGCATCGACAAGTGACACAGCGCTGCTCTCCATGCGAATGGATAGAGGGATGCACTTCCTTGCCGTTGGGCAGTGGCCCGTCGGGGAACTTGCATCCTCCTTCTGCCAGAATCTCTTCGGCAGTACGTGGTGCACCCTGATCTTTTGGAGTTTCTTCATCCGGTTTCTTTGCTTTCAACTGAGACAACATTAAAAAAACATGAATATATGGGTTTTGAAATATTCACACGTACACAATTATCTGATATAAATCCCCAAAATTTGTTCATACAAAAGTAGTCTCTAAGGATCAGAAATAAGGTCTATAATGGAGTTAGTGGAGAGCGATCACCGGAGACCGCTTGGCATTAGTAAACCGTTTTTTTTCAGTAAGGTTCTCATTTACCTCTGGGCACACACGGCAGCATGCTTTCTTGTCCGGCCTGTACGCTTCTTTTTCACTGCAGCGTAGTGGTGGGCACTTGACTCTAGGACATTGTATTTGCCTGGTCGCAAAGTTGCACGTGCAGATGGCACACGTGTCGTAACCTCCAGGGACTAGGTAAGGGTGCCATGATGACCCTGGGGCGTAGCTCTGTCCAGCAAGAACGCAGCTTCCATTTTCTGACCAAACAGCAGTCGTAGAATCTAGAAAGTAACATTAAAATATTAAATACGTAAATTAAAGAAAGCATGTAAAATAATGTATACAAATCATGAGTGTTAGAGCCAATAGGTGTTGGTAGAATAAATTGGAAAATTATAATGAAAAGTTTCTGTTTGATCGTAATCCAGTTGAAATACTCACTGGTACAAATAGGGCAACATTGTCCAGGTGGTTTAATGGTAGGTACCAGACAGTTGACAGGTGGGCACTGCACCGGTTCACATCGCACCATCCCCAATACGCACCAGCATTTTGAACATGTCTGCAAATATATGAAAACGATTCTTTAAATCTAAATGTTTACTACAAAGAATGAATCTTCAATAAACAACAAGAGAAGATTCTTTTAGAATAAATCTTTATGAGGATATTTGTTCTGCTCTAAAAGCAAATATAAAAATGGTAACCTCCTCTTCAAATTACTCAGTTAGTGATAAAATTATAAGTTATAACTATTGTCCTCACCTCAGTATCTGTCCAAGTTTCTCCAAGCTTGTAGTACTTATCTCTTTGCGTACAATAATTGAGGCGGAATAAGGAGTAGTCCGTCATCTGGTCTTCTAAAGGTCCTGGAGTATACTTGGGGATCAGCTCGTTGTCCGACGTCCCTGGCACGGATGGCAAACACGATGGAGGCACGCTTATCTGAAAAACATTAAAAATATTTCGTCATATTATATTAAAAAATCTCCAATTCATTCTATCATTTATTTTTTTACTGACTCACCGATTAATTTTCCAATCTGTAGCAGCACAAATAAATTGATTTTCAAATTAAATATTGGTTTTTAGCTTAGTGTTATCTTAAGTAATAAACATATTAAGGTTTTTTAGGATTAACTCACTTATGGTCATAGCTATTAGGTAAAAAATAAGGTTTTTTTATTGGTTTGTTAATGACTGACGATTATCAAAACAAAATATTTTTAAACGTGGAAGATTTTAAGATGATCGTTTGAATGTTCTTTTTAAGGATTTACCTGTGGTACTCGCGCGCGCAGGATCACAGTAACGTTGTCGTGGGCTCGCAACTCTAGGGTTGAAGCTCCTAGATGTAGCGCCACCAGCTCAGCGGAAGTCGGCTCTAACACCCATCCTTCTTCACCGCCTAATTCTCTAGCTGCAACTTCAGTGCCAGGGTGAGTCCCCAGCCACCAGGATGACCACGAACGAGCATTACCACCGGTAATCACCGTCTGAAACAAATTAGTTTTTGTTGAGATTGATACCACCATCAGCACTGCGACTCTAATCACCCAAGGGTGATTCGCAAAAATTATATTATCTATAATAATATAATTTCTATGGCATTTAAGTTGTTATATTAAATCAATGGATTGAGTATGAGTATCAAGAATGAATTAGCTGCTACTTAAGAATGCTGCCAAAGGCCCAATAGTAAAAATTACAATTGATGCAATAGTTTCAATTCAGATTTAAGAAATAAAAAAAAATTCTCGTAACTGGTAAATTACCTCGTAGTACAGTCCACATAATGAGTCCACGGACAGCCACGCCAGCCCAGCCATAGCAGCTGGTAGCCTGACTTGTCCTGTTCTTCGCAGTAGAGCGGGACCAGACCCTGCTGCATCAGGGAGCATTCGCGATGTCAGACGACCACGGAGAATTGGAGGACCTGAAAAAAAAAACAATTCATAATATTTTCCTTTCATACAAAGAAAGAAAAGAAAGTAGTCGTAAAATGTCTTAAGAGATAGATAGATACACATGTGAGATGCTAAAATTCATATTTTGCCAGTGCTTTTGGAAAATACAAATCGTGAAGTACTTTTTCCGCCCTTTTAAATCAACCAAAGAACCCAGCATGCTGTTTTTTGTTTCGGTTGCGATCACTCGAGGAATTCGTCATCTTAATAAGATGTACACATAAAAATCTCTGTAGATTAATTTGTTTGCCGTTCAATTTGAACCCGTGGCTCGGCTTAATAGGAATAAATTAAATCAGGCATACGGTTTAATGGAGTGTCGACTACAACGCAGTAATCGTTTAATTGTCTTGTTTGAATTCATTTTGCTTACAATATGTGAATCCATTTAGTGAGATAAAACGATTATAAGAAAACAAACAAAGTTCTGAGACATTTGGTAAAAGTATAGAAAATATTCTCACATTAAATGAAAGTTTATCTAAGATCCACGTTGTTGTCAGTATGTGGATGCGAAGAGCTGAGAAGAAATTCCTATCTCCAGCAATGGACAGAAACAGGCTTATACTGAAGATGAAGATAATGGCGTCAAGATCTATAAAGTAGTGCATTGTGCAGTTTGGTGTATATTATGATTTTAAATTCTAAGACAATCCATAGAAAACCAGATCCAGTCCCCAATAACACTCCAATTCGTTTCATCTGAAGAAGTAAATAAGGCTTACCGGTATCAGCACTAATATGAACTGCAAGCTGTTCTTCATACAAAGGCTGGAATATCCTGGCACTGGGTCGCGCCAGTACTCCAATACGGGTGTCCAGTATCTCAACCTGAGAGTGACGCTTGCCTTGCTCCTCCACCAAAGTTATCTTAGGGTCTGTTATACCCAAATTGTCAACCTGGAAAAGATATTTATAACGTCAGAATCAGATGCTATCCTACCCTAGGTATTTCCTAAATTAAATTTCATATTGCATGAACTACGTTGCATTTCAAACGTCAACCGAACCCTTATATCTTGAGTCTATAGTCTTAACTAAAATGATTGCAGAAACTTCTAAACAAACATACATTTACATGTTCAAAACTTCTTCAATGAAATAATAAATCATCATCAACTAGAACTGTTTCCAGCTTACTAGTCAATTTGAAATAAATATCAAACAATCAGACTGCACGGTTGGCGCGGTGGCTGCGCAACTGGCTGCCGCGCAACGTGTCGCGGTTTCGGTTCCCGCACGGAACACCTCTTTGTGTGATCCACAGATTGTTGTTCCGGGTCTGGGTGTCATGTGTATGTGATATTGTATGTTTGTAAAACGCACCCACGACACAGGAGAAAATTCTAGTGTGGGGCAACGTTTTTTAAAAAGAATGCATTATATCCTAAAAAAGTTGTAAATGACAATATACATATACGACTTCCTGAATTACTTTTTTAAAACGTAATCTGTCCTCTAATAACAGATTACACTTTGTTCTGACAAATAAAAAGCCATTAACACTCATGTCTCTTAGAAATCTAATAAATTATGCGTCTTAACGACCCTACTAACCTGTTAAGGCGTCAATTCAAGCAATTTGCTTTTAAATTATAGGTAGATATCATCGAAGTAATTTAAATTCCTTTAATTTCATGATCATTCATATAATGACATGTTTTTAACTCCGACTTAAGAATGAAAAGAAGAGATCTATGTACTTTGAATTTAAAAAAGTTTCCATATAATTCCAAAATCAGAAATTGGATATAAGGATCGTATTTTGTATTTTCGCAATCTCAAGAACTGCGGCGCTTGTTAGATGAAATCGTTCAAACTTATAGACAAAAATGAAACCCGTTTCCCGTTGTCACGCCATAACTTGAGAACGACTAGACCGATTTGGCTGTATTTTTTTTTTTTTGTTGTGTTTGATATTGTCAGGAGAAGGTTCTTATGATAGAAAAAAATCCTGAAAATCCTACAGGAACGGGATTGCGCGTACGAAGTCGCGGGCAGAAGCTAGTAGTACCTACTTGATATTAAGACTTTGACATATACAGTCACTGACTATCGCTAGTCTAGACATGTTTGCGTTCCCAACTATTAAATATCACTGGATACGGTTCAGTAATCCATGTTGTAAGGATGGACGTTAAACACACCTTGTTATGTCCTTTGCAGTTTCAATTAAATTGCCTATTATAGGCATATTATTTTTTATTTCTTAAGACCTTAGACCTACGTGTAGGTATAATTACACAATTTTCTTTATCATTTACATTATCTTTAGATTGCATTTGTCCTTACGCTTTATGTTTGCGTCCTTCATTTAATACTGAGATAATTAAACTAATATCTTCTAAAGCCTAGAGTTAGCAACATCAGAGGGCCTAGCACGATTTACGTTTATGGAGAATCGAAAGGTTACCGCGATTAGCCCTCTGATTGATCAGTCCATTGGAGCAGGCCAATCAGAGCGATGGACGCGGTAACCTTTCGATGTTGTTAAACGTAAAACAAAGTCACATTAAGCCCTGAGAACTCTAACATCAAAAATATATTTACCTGTATGTCATAGACGAGCGATCCTTCTTTGTCAATGTAAAGCAAGGCAAGTCCTTCAGGCGCAGGCGTTGCTGACAGCCTCTCGGAAACCAACGGTGTATTATACACTTCGCAGGCCGCTTTCTGTCTCACAGTTCCCACGATTCTTCTTTCAGGAGCTTCAACAGCCTCCACAGTGAGAAGTAAGCGACCTCTAGCCAAAGATCTCAGTTCTGCAGCCGATACTGGAGTTGATACCTCCAGGACATTGAAGTCATAATGGGGTTTGCTTACCCTCTGCACCTGGAAAATCACATTAATTTATCTAAGACCTGAATGTTCTACTGCTTCTAATTAGAGTTAGGAAAGAATTTGAACAGTGGTTTGTAAAATTGTTGTGTAGGTAGAAGATGATGGCATTGGGATTATAAAGTATCAGTACTACTACTATATTATTATGTTGGTATATAAAAAGACAAAATGTCCCTTATTTTGTTTGGAAGGACAAACAGTTAAGATTCTGTACACGTAATAAAAGTACTTATCGCAAGGTGACATATTCTGGGGTGCGGTGCCAGAAGACCTCCCCGTGGTGCACCCTGGGTGCGGGCGACAGTCTCCCTAGCGGGGGTGATAGGGTTGGAGTGACTGTCGCCCGCAGCAGACTTCTGGACTGGGCGGGCGAACCCGATAGGGTTCTGGAGGCGGCGGGCTGTGTGCGGAGGCTCATAGCCCGCGCTTCCGAGGGGCGTTTCTCCGCCCGTCTCTCTGGACATAGCAGAGAGCGTGGCGTAGAGGCAAGGGCGGTGCTCGTTGTGCACTCACCCTGCCGGCGAGCAGCATCGGGACACAAGCTGTCCCCGATTGCAGCCGTCGATATCGTAACCCGTAAAGAGGTCACGGTCATGTTTTGTGACTCTGATCGGGACGAGGGTCTTGGCTTGGTCGCCCGGACCGCGAGGAAGATAACCTCTATAAAAAATTCCTCCAATACTAAGTTCTGGTGCGCGGCGAGAGTATGCATGGCTGAGGAGTAGTGTCAGTCGCGAGCGCACCCCCAGCTAGGGGACCAGTGGAACCTCTAGTTGGGAAACAAATGAACACTTACCCAGGTACAGGGGGCACTGCCTGGGTGGACCGAATATTTCCCCCATACTCGTGGGAACTGTATGGAGAAAGTAAAATCTAAAAAAACAAAACCACAACTGTCGGAGGAGGAGAGTGCGGGTGAGCTTGGCTCACCTGCAGACGTAGTAGAGGGGAGCCCAAGGGGCTCTGGCGCCCGTGGGGAGACGCTGGACACATCTAGCATGCCCCACACACGGGCATCAATTACGATGGTGTCGGACCCTGAGTCCGACACATCACTGGCGGATCGGCTGAGCGTGAGCTCGAAGGGCTCACGCCGTCGCGTGACGGGGACGTTTAAGCGTCCCAGGCTGGAGGAGGACGCTTCGTCCCCGTCCTCCGGCGCGCAGGCGCCTCCCCCTAAAGTCCCAACGGCGGCGCGGGGTAGGGGCGGCAAGGGCGGCGGTCGCCGGAAACCGGCACCAGTTGCCTGCGTGGAGTCAGCCGAGCAGCTGGCTGCGGAGGGCAGGGCTCTCTCGAGCGCTGCCCGTTCAGAGTCCTCCGCAGCCGAGATGTCCGGCGTGGAGGTTTCGGAGGGCGAGTCGGGCTCCGAGAGCGCGAGCGGCTCCGGGCACCTCCGACAGGCCATCACGGAGGTGCTCCATAAACTGGCTATGGGGAAATCCCAGCCGGTTAGGCTCTCCCTCCTCAGGGCGGCGGTGGCCACTATTACGGAGGCAGCCTTGGAGCAGTGCGCGGTGCCCACTGCAGAAAAGGTGCGCTCCGAGCTGGGCGAGATGCGGCGGGAGCTGGCGCGCTTGGCGGCCTCCAATGCGGCCCTGGAGGCCGAGCTGCGGACGGCCAGGGCCGAGCTCGCCGCTGCTCGCGGCAGTCACCCCCAGCCCCCGGCGGAGTCCGACGTAGTCGGACTGCTGCGAGCGGAGATGGCTGCCTTCCAGCGACGTTTTGACGTGCTGGAGGGCAGGCTTTTGCGCCCCCCGCTCGCATCGAGCCGGGCCTCCCCGCCCGCGGCATCGGGCTCATACGCGGCTGCTGTGGCCAAGCCTCCGACCTCCACTGGTCAGGCTGGCCGCGGCCCCCAACCGCCGGCAAAGGCGCGGGCGCCTCCTCCCGCGAGGCCCTCGGCGCCCCCGCCGGCGCAGACCCCAGCTGCGCCGATGGCGCCTGCGCCCATGAGGCGCAAAAAGAGGAGGGACACTCCAGCCCGGCAAGCTGGAGTTGCAGCAGCGGCGGCGGAACCCGCCCCGCGAGTGGAGGACGGCGGCGGTTGGCAAATCGCCGGCGAGGCGAGGAGAGTCGCCAGGGAGGGCCGAAAGCGCCGCAAAAAGGCGCAGCGGCAGCGACGGCAGCAGCAGCGCAGGGAGAAACGCGCTGCTGCCTTGCTCCTCGCCCCTAAGACCGCGGCTGTAGTTATTACACTGCAGCCCGAGGCGGTCAATAGGGGCGTTACCTATGGTGACGTCCTCGCCAAGCTCAAGGGGGCGGTAACACCTGCGGAGTTCGGGGCCCCGGACGGGTTTGCGGTCAAGGTGACCGCTACCGGAGCCCGTCTACTGGAGGTCCCCGGCGCGGCCAGTGGCCCGTCGGCCGACGCCCTGGCTGAGAGGCTTAGGGCGTGCCTCGGGGCAGACGAGGCCCGCGTGTCCAGGCCCACCAAATGTGTGGATGTCCGGATATTGGGCCTGGACGACTCCGTCACGGAAAGTGAGGTGGTGGCCGCTGTGGCCAGGACGGGAGGGTGCCCTGCTGACCAGATCAAGGCGGGCACCATCCGTCCGGACAACTCGGGGCTGCGCACGGTGGTGGTGAGCTGCCCCGTCACAGCGGCCAAGAAGCTGAAGGAGGGCAAAAGGCTCTTGGTGGGATGGGTCTCGGCGCAGGTAAAGCTGCTCGAGACCCGGCCTCTGAGGTGCTACCGTTGTCACGTGGGGGAGCACGTGAGCGCCAAATGCACCTCAGAGGTGGACCGCAGCGACTGTTGCTTCCGCTGCGGTCGGCCCGGTCACAGGGCCGGCTCCTGCACTGCCCCGCTGCACTGCAACGCATGTGCGGCGGCTGGCAAGCCGGCCAATCACCGGGTCGGGAGCAAGGGCTGCTCCCCTCCTGCCAAACCCAAGGGCAAAGGTAGGCCCTCCGCCACCCCTGCCGTTTCCGCCGCCGCCGCCGCCACTGCCGCCGCAGTCGCCGCTGCCGCTACTGAGGAGATCGGAATGGACTGTCAATAATGGCTCCATTCCGCCTCCTCCAGGCGAATATTAACCACTGCGCCGCTGCTCAGGATCTCCTGCTCCAGAGCATGGCGCAGTGGTCGATCAATGTCGCCGTGGTCTCCGAGCCGTACTTTGTCCCGCCCAGGGATCACTGGGTGGCGGACCTGGACGGCTCGGTGACCATCATCTCATCGGCCGCCGCCGGTACCCCGACTCTTGAGGCAGCTCAAAGAGGCCGGGGTTGTGTCGCAGCACGGTTCGGAGAGCTCGCTGTGGTGGGCGTGTACTTCTCTCCGAACCGAACTCTCGCCGAGTTCCACAACTCCTTGATGGAGTTGGTCACAGTCGTCGTCGGGTTCCGTTCCCTCCCCGTGCTCGTCCTCGGGGACTTCAATGCCAAGAATTTGGCTTGGGGTTCCCGGTTCACCGACGTCCGGGGTAGGATGGTGGAAGACTGGGCCCTTGAGGCAGGCCTAGTCGTCTTGAACCGGGGTTCTGTCCCTACGTGCGTGCGGATGCAGGGCGAGTCGGTGGTGGACATTTCGTTCGCCAGCCCTGCTCTGTCACCACGTATCGTTGACTGGCGTGTCATGGAGGAGGTGGAGACGTACTCCGACCACCGGTATATCCGGTTCAACGTCTCCGCCGAGTCCGCGGATCCGCCGGTCAGACAGGCCCCATGTGGCCCGCGTTGGGCGCTGAAACAGCTGGACCGGGAGCTGCTCCTGGAAGCCGCCATCGTGCAGGCCTGGGTGATACCACCGGTCAGGCCTGCCGACATTGACGATGAGGCCAAGTGGCTCCAGGACGCCATGTCCAGGATCTGTGACGTGGCGATGCCCCGGATCCGGTCGAGGCAACAAAAGCGCCAGGTGTACTGGTGGTCGCAAGAGCTGGCAGCTCTACGCAAGGCGTGCACTGCTGCGCGACGCCAGTACACTAGGCACCGCAGGCGCCGTCTCCGTCCTCCAAATGCGGAGGCGAGAGAGGCGTAGTTGTATGAGGGATACAGGGCGGCGAAAGCCGTCCTCAAGGCGGAGATATTGCGGGCCAAGGAGGAGGCCCGCCGGGAGATGCTGGGGACTCTGAATAGAGACCCGTGGGGACGCCCGTACCGCATGGTACGCGACAAGCTTCGCGCTTGGGCTCCCCCGCTCACTCAGAGTCTCCGGCCAGAGGTCGTTGAGGAGGTAATTGGCGCCCTGTTCCCCCGGCTGTGGAGGGGCTTCACCCCTCCGTATATGACTCCGCCCCCTGCGGTGCCCGACGCGGGCTATAGCGACGACGACGACGACGACATCGTCCCAGAGGTGACCGAGGCAGAACTGAGAGCGGCGGTGCGCCGGATGGGCGCCAAGAACACCGCCCCAGGACCCGACGGCTTGCATGGCAAAGCATGGGTCCTGGCCTCAGAGGCTCTCAGGCCTCGATTAATCGGTCTCTACAGCGCATGCTTGGAGAGAGGCCAGTTCCCGCTGCTCTGGAAAGCGGGAAAACTGGTCCTCGTGCGGAAGACGGGGCGCCCTGCGGACTCTCCGTCCGCGTACCGGCCCATAGTGCTGCTCGACGAGGTGGGGAAAGTCTTCGAAAGAATCATTTCGAACCGCCTCGTCGCGCACCTGACGGATATTGGGCCGGACCTATCGGACGGCCAGTTCGGCTTCCGCAGAGGGCGCTCCACGGTGGACGCCATCATGCGCGTTAGGGACCGGACGACGGGGACTGCAGTGTCCAGGGGTAAGGTCGTAGTGGCGGTGTCTCTGGACATCGCCAACGCCTTCAACTCCCTGCCCTGGAGCTGCATCTTGGAGGCACTCCGATATCATCGGGTGCCTACCTACCTCCGTCGTGTAATCGAGGCATACCTGACGGACAGGTCCGTCATCTACCCCGGTCACCGGGGCGAGTGGAACCGGCGAGAGATGTCACGCGGTGTTCCACAGGGTTCGGTTCTGGGGCCGCTCCTGTGGAACATCGGTTATGACTGGGTGCTGCGCACCGACCTCCCGAACGGCGTTAGCATGATATGCTACGCCGACGACACGCTGGTGCTAGCGCACGGGAGGTCGCACCAGGCGGCGGCCGATTTAATGGCGACAGCGGTTGCGACAGTCGTTGAGAGAATCCGGCAGTTGGGACTCGAGGTGGCGCTCCACAAGTCCGAGGCCATGTGTTTTCATGGCCGCGGGAATGCGCCACCTCCTGGTGGGTCTCAAATAATGGCGGGAGGGGTTACCATCGGCGTCGAGACGGCGATGAAGTACCTGGGACTCGTCCTCGACAGTCGATGGAACTTCGTGGAGCACTTCCGACGTTTGGCTCCAAAGTTGGCGAGGGTGGGGGCTGCGTTTAAGCGCATCCTCCCCAACCTCGGGGGGCCAAACGCCTCCTGCCGGAGGTTATACGCCGGGGTCGTGCGGTCCATGGCCCTCTACGGCGCCCCTGTTTGGGCGCCGAACCTGCTGCAGCGGCCCGCTCGGGCGCTGCTTATGGCACAGAGGGTCATGGCGATCCGAATGATCCGCGGATACCGCACGATCTCTGGGGAGTCGGCGAACCTCCTTGCCGGATTACCGCCGTGGGATCTGGAGGCGAAGGTGCTCGCGCGCGTGTATCGCATGCGCGCGGAGGCACGTCGCCGGGGCGAAACTCCGCTGCCGCGCCAGATAAGTGCGTGGCGGGATGAGCTCCGGCGCGATCTCATGGCGGAATGGCAGCAACGACTGTCGCAACCGAGGGCTGGGCTCGCTGCCATTGCAGCGGTAAGTCCCCTCTTTGAGGAGTGGCTTGAGAGACGCTACGGCGTCCTCACCTACCGCCTGACGCAGGTCCTCACCGGACATGGAAGTTTCGGGAGGTACCTGTGTCTGATGGGGCGGGAGGAAACGCCCGGGTGTCATCACTGCGAGGACCCTGAGGACACGGTGGAACACACTGTTGCGGAATGCCCTGCGTGGGCTGAGCACCGCCGTGCCCTCAGGGAAGTGATCGGCGATGGAGACCTCTCGCGTCCGGGCCTAGTTCAGGCCATGATGCGGAGCGAGGGGGACTGGGATGCCGTCTCCTCCTTTTGCGAAGCAGTCATGCTGGCTAAGGAGGAGGCGGGACGCGTGAGGCAGCGAAGCGCTGCCTCCTCGCAACCCAGCCATCGCGAAGGACACACCGGGCGTCGGGGATCGCGGGACGATCTCCGGCCACCGTAAGCGCGGGCCTGCGGACGGCGAGCATGGGTGGCTCCCCGTCCGACCAGAAACAGACCCGAGCGTACGGCGCGTCGTGTTCCGCGCGCGCCTCAAAGAGCCATCAGACCACCACAGATGGGGCCCAATAGGGCCGATGCCGATTCGGAGTCGCGGAGAACCTAACGGGTAACCGGGGCTCCGGCTCGACGTGCAGGAGAAGGAACGGGGTGGTTTTTAGTCAGTAAGAGTCTGACACTCCCTTCCGCCTCACCCAGGCGGGAGCAGTCATTCGATGATTTTCCCCCCTTAAAAAAAAAAAAAAAAAAAAAGATTCTGAATTCGATGAGCGACTCGTCGCTCTTAGGTCCCCTTACATAACAATAAAAAAATTAAAAAAAAAAAATCGAAATTCCTGAGACAAGACGTATAATTATGTAGTTGTAAGTATACATTCACAGTATTTCTTGAGCTCATCTCAATTTACGTTTATTGGCAGTAATTAGCCACTTAAAGCCCTCATTAACAGTAGGTAGTTGATTGTGTTGTTGTATAATTTGGTCACATCGTAAACAAAAGATAATAAATATGAATATACCTGATCAATGATGGTCTGATTCTTTTCTGGGAGAGTGAGGATCACTCTGACCAGGTGTGGAGTGACTGCAGTTTTTGGAAAAACTCCATTGAAAACCAGGGCGAGGTACAGACTGGGAGTGGCTCCAGCCACTGCCGTGATCACTGCTGTGCCTCCCCACCAGCCGTCTTCGTACTCTAATGCTGGGTAGTCCTGACAAGCCCCCTGTCCAATCGAAGTAGGAGGATGTTCTGGTTCCAACAATGTCGTGAACATTTCTGATGAAAGGGCAGGGTACCTACAAAAAAAAATTTAACTTCATTCGCACCCATTACCAATAACCGCACTATCCTCATTTCCGAAAATACACGTTAATGAAAGAGTGTAACATTTGCACAAGGTATATTTCCTAAACAAGTAAGCTTGATAATTTAAAAGGTCAAAACAATTAACATCAGTTTTCCCAGAAAGCAATCTAATCTTGATCATTATTTCTCAATATCACACGGCACTAGTGGCCACACTGTATCGTAGATATCGCGATAGTACTAAAGCAATTAATAGTACGAATCAATTGAGTTTCCACTAACAACATTATGACCGTTATAAAAACATGTGTGTCTAGGTTTTTTCCCAGAATTATATGTAATGGTGAACCTAGAGTTTTCCGCTGTAAATCATGCGGTTAATTAAATTTACAATCCAAGGCAAACAGTGCTGCCATTCATAGATTCCCGGGAATAATTACTGCCATAATATTTATTGCATTGATTCGGAAGGTGATCGGTGATTAATTCATAATTACTGGCGGCATGTACAAAGTTGGTGTTCATTTAAAATTCCTATTCCTTACCTACCTGTCGATTCTGCCGCTGAGAGCGCTATCGATGGAGTTGTTCCGCGCATCGCCCCACAGCAGGGCCACGTGCAGGTCTCCATCTCTCAGTAAAGTCTTGTATTGTCTCGGCACTCGACGCCAGACACCACAAAGCTGTAAACAACACATTTCACCTATCAAAAACAATAACAAGCGCACAATGAGTACCTACTTCAACATTTCGTAGAAACTGTTGATATGGCCAAGGTAAGCCAATTCATCGAAATTACCTTATCTGTTTTTTCTTCGTACGTCGCGTGTATACCGGGTATTCTCTTCAGTGACTGTTCCAGTAGCACACGCCCCTCTTTGTCGAGGAAGGCGAGTGCTCGAGGTTGGGTCTGTATGGAGGGGCTGAGGAGAACGGACCAGTAGAGGTGCCGTCTCCGAAACGTGAACCGAGCAGTTGCCACTCCGTGCGCAACAGGCACCCCTGACATGTCATCCCGTCGTACACACAGCGGAGACCGGCCGGTTAGAAATGATGCGAAATCTTGAAGAAGAAAATGAAATGAAGTTAATAGGTATCTTCCTTAGTTTCTTATCCTTATCAAAACAAATGGTGAAATACTTACATTTCATGTTTTTTTCATCTTCTTCAGTCGTTATGACAACTGGACTGTCTTCTTGAACGATGTCGGGAGCTGAAACAAAGATGATGGTATTTGTAACAAGATATTTCAATGCTTAAGTTAATATAACTTCTACATTAGTTCGAAACTGGTTCAAAAGCTAGGATGGCCTTTAGTATACTTAGAACAACATCACAAACTTGAATGAAACGCAATAGGGCACTAAAATATTATGGTCGAAATCAATTCGCTGAAATTACTTTCCGTCTAAACGATGAAAGGTGCTTAGATCTTATTCTGTAGCACTAAGAAACTTGGGAGAAACCGACACATAATCTCAAATAAAACTTTTTGCAATATTTTTAATTATGTTGTCGTCATAGTTATATGAAACCTAGAAGGAAGGAAACATAATGTAAGTATAAACTGGGCGTTTTAATAATCGTGTACTTTCTTTCCGCAACGCTGGTCATGAAGTCGTAGTGGGATCAATTGATTGCGAGTGCGTCGACGTCGCCAGGCCTGTGCGCAAGACCTCCCCGACCCCTCGATTCGGGTTGATTGGATCAAATGTTATTCAATCGTAACAGGATCGGCGCGGGCGTCTAGACGGCGACGGTAGAATTTGCGTTTTGCATAGCTTTCTTGTTGGGTCTGCTATGGACAGAAATAGAGAGAGCACTGACATTTCATGCGACACTTTGATTGGTATCCGATTTACCGATGTACGCTCGTTAAACGCTCGTAAACCCGAATGCATCGAGCACGTATTGTGTTATTACATTTATTATGTTGCCGCTACTAGAACTCCGCATACATTACGCGTTATTACAGTCTACTTAACTTTAATGCGATATAAGTTCAGATTTTATGTTCCAAGTTCTTGGGAATCGTGCGTTTCAAGTAACTGGAGTAATAATATATAGAGTATTATGGATGGATCATTTCAACTTTGATCGACTTTAGTTAACTATTTTGAAACGTATTTAGTTTTGAGTGTAAGTTAAATAAAAAAAAATGTAATGCTTAAAATGTAACCTATTTTAAGTCAGAAGATTTCTTTTTGTTTTAAACTGTCAAACACCAAGCGGTCACCGGTGACCGCGACCTATTGTTCTTTAATTGTGTCTATAAAACCGGTACTCGACCGGTACTCGATGAAAATAATTGGTTAGGCATTTGATTGTTTAAATTACGTCACCGTAGATTTTTTTTAATATGAAGTGGAAAAACACAGACTGGTTCAGCGACCTGCTGGTAGCCCACAATAGTTAACCCTATTAAGGAAATGTTAGACATAATAAATAATAAAAATATAGTTTCTACTTGTTTAACGGAAATTAAAATCCATAAGTTGATTAAATCAAACAGATATAACTAGCTCATTTCCAATAAATGAACGGACTTGGGACATCTGCCACGGCTAGGCATTAAGTATTCCATTCTTAATTAATATCTAAGTAACATTACCATAATACACAATACTTGTATCATAGCTAACCACATAAACACTTAACATTTTCCAATATTTTTCCATAAATTTGAAATGTCAATTTTCAATAACTACCTGTCTTTAGAAGTAATTACTTTAATAGAATAAGTGGTCCCGGTCTTAATAAACATGTTAATGTCACATTGTAACATAATATCAATAATGGCATAATTATATCGCCACTTGTTGTTGCTGTGTTTAGGCGCATTACGTATGGCTGCGTGGTTAAATCGAACACCGAGTTAGACTAATAAATCGTGTTATCTGATCATTGTAGTGGACAGGGGAATGACATGATAAACAAGTATATAGTATCCAGTAAACATTGTGATGAGGGGACCTGTTTACGCGACTATGAGCTTACGCAGCCAGATTGTGATCTGGCACGCTCCGGCGCCGTTCATAATTCACTCTGTAAATTCATTACATATCCGAGACAGCCCTAAATTTATTTGCAAATGGCGCCAAGGCGGCGATGAGTAGCTCTAGGATATTTGCAAGCACAACAAAGAGTAGCGCGCACGGAGAGATGGCGCGCGGCCGAGGGAATGTGCCGCCGATACACAGGGCTGACGACATGTTTATCGCGCGCGCCACCAGTTACTACATCAGCCGCCTCCTGCACGTTACCTGCTGCTTCATTAATGTCACACGCCACCACCACACAGCTACACTACTCGCTCTCCGACATATTATTGTTTATTTTCTACGCTGAAATTCATCATCCTGAAATGACTAACAACCGCCCGCCCGGCTGAGATATTACTGCCCAAACGCACATAAACTTACTCTGTTTAACAAAACATGTACCAAATCATAATAAAGCAACTTTACCGTTTGTGAAATCGATTAGCAAACATTCCACTTGGGTATTTATATTATTAGTTAGAATATTACGAAACGTGTTATATCTGAGCATGGAGTATGAATAAATGCAGTAAAATATGCTGCCGCCCATTAAAATGCATTAACAGTGACAAATACCAGCGCTAGAGGCATAGTAGGACAACCGTCGACGTTTCTGTCTATCGTGCTTTATTAATTGTTCATTACTATTATAATTAATCTTCGAATATAGTTCTAAAACATCGACAGATTTAGAGATGTAAAGAATATGGTAACAAAAGTTATAGAACTAATAAGTTGGCATTGTGTTTAGTTCACATAGCATACACAAATATTTTTATTTTGTGAAAAATGCTCAACTTTGGGGATTGGCGTGTCATTTTCTTGTAACTATATTAGTTCTTGGTGAACTTGAGTAATGATAATGTAGCTGCAAAGAATGCGGCTCGTGGCCAGCCCTAGTAGAGAGTGTGCGATCGTCGTCGGACACCTTTGACTCGGCCAAGCTTGGCTCACTCGTCGCGCCTGTGCGGGTATGAATATTTATGCGCTTGCATAGCGCACACTAGCGGCGCAACGCGAACAGAGCGACACGTCGCATTTCAACTGATACCACTCATTAATGTCGTTTAGCGTAAATTTAAACTTTTAAAAGCAACCTCGAAGCCGCGACGTGCTGCGTGTTGACTAGTGGCTCGCTTCATTTCTAGTCTGGTCGCGGCCTAACGTTTAGTCCTCTGCGTCGCGACGAGTTTTCCAATAGTGTGATGTAACCGGCGCCGCTGAGCCGCGCAGACGACGCTACTGCCGACAGCCGTGCACAGGAGCGCACGACGCCACTAAATCGGTTCAAAGGGGCCAGATATAAAACCCATCCGATGTCATATCACACAAACGATTGAAATTGTGCGCCGGCTGCCAGTTATCACTGCGGACGAGCGCCGCAACTCGCATTCAGACTTCTATAGCATTATCCGCCATTAATTAAGATGTTTTTGAACAAGCGTAGGTATGGACGATCACTAAAATCTTTTATATTTTTGATGTGAGATACATCACTCGTTACACCGTTTTATATTTTTATGATGACTGTCTATGAAGAAAATTCTTTGAAAAGCACCAGATTTTTAACGTCGTAATTGAAATAATGTTTTGCACAATGATAATGTAGAAATAATGGTAAATGTTCAGGCGCCGCAGTGTGGCGTAACTGGCATGTTCCGTCACAAGCAGACGGATCAGTCACTGCGCTGACAACATGGCACCGCCGATAGTTTTGTACACAAGCAGTTCAAGCAAGGATTGCACAATCCATCGTGCCTATATAAGACGCCTTAAGACAGCTCCATGTTTCGTACTTCCTAAGCAAGCGCCGTGCATATTTATGTGACGTTTAAGAGCCGATTAGATAAATTATACAAATACTTTGCATATGCAAGTGTAATTCGGTTCCTATAGAACACATATCAAGTGTCCGCCGGTCGATTTATTATGCATTACGATATGACAGGTACACGGGCAAATCATTCATCAAATACAATTTATTGAATGCTTGTTAAATAATTTACAAGTTACATGAGCGTAGCATTGAACATTCAGCCGCGGCCGATCATACCTTGACCTCGACTACGCTGAAAAACTTCATTTACCGTGTGGGGTCGCGCCGTGCGCTCGCGCCGCCGCCGGAACTATTCTGAACAAAGTGACGACGCGTCTAGTGACGTCACGCACGCCGCACGACGCTCCACTGAAAACACCGTCGCTCATGTCACCTCGACATCTAAACCACGTACCTGTCACTACTTGTAACTATGCCAGAAACTCTAGTCTTCATTATTTTTTGTCCCACAACAGCGCACTGATTCATATCGGTACCCGTGCTTACGTTAATCTCATAGAATCGATACTGCTTCTCAGTCTTACACTAAGTACTCGACCTAATTAACCATTAACCTAAATGTTTGTCACACAAACTCATAGATAACATTGATATATCGTCACTCGTGCTATTGTTACAACTTGCGCGATTTTCTTATCGAGACCTGTGATATCTTACGTGAATAAAAATAACACAGCTTATTAATTATTTCTTGATAATAATCATTCAATGTTGTTTTTAGCCACATTGATAGCAAATATATTATTGGCTCAGTTATATAACATTATACAACAATACAAACGCATCTGGAGACATTATAGTAAATGCTATCCAGCGCGATTGAATGACGAATTGATAATGCTATAATAGGGAAATGACAAGGAGTAGTACGGGAAAAGTTCGCTACGGACCTACTGATACATTAGATAGAGCATGCACTACGGGCTACGAAGCGGCGAGTGGCGGCGTGGCGGCAGTCGACTGCAACAATATTCCACCGAGGCTGACAGTGCTCTTGGGCGCACGAACCTCATTGCAAATTCCCGCGACGGCGAACGAGTTGTTCACAGTCGGCTTTGTGCTAATTTATAGGTTATATTCGTAATGATTGTGGCAAAGAATGTTTATGGCACAAGGCGCGGTCTTATTGTTTTCGATAGGCACGCCGGAGTGGTGTTGGAGCCGCACACACGCCCGCATAACTGTCGCGCTGTAAGAATGCAACGAGCGTTGGCTTCGATTCAACATCCATTTCCATAAAATATAATTTCGCCTCGGCGGCGCTCTGGATGCATCTTGATGTGAATGTTTCGACGTCGCGCGCCGAGGCGGATGCTCCGTAGTACTTACCTACAT